AGGAAATGCAACACCCATATCTCACTGTATACATTTGCATATGGACGTGTGGTTTGAAATGCAGGCCTTTTCTCAGACCAGCTCACTGTGGAAAATTATAATAGAGTTAAATTTGGACGCTACTATTGCTTAAAAAATTAGCTCAGTGGTTCATTTGAGCTAAATAAATACACAAACTAAACCAACATTTTACAGGCATCTTTCCACAGGAAGCTGATTTGAAACAAATCTGGATATTCTGAAGGACACTGAGAAGACAAAGTAACACTGATGCTGTTTCAGTTGCAGCAAGGGAAGCAACAACAGAAGAGTTTCTTGCATGGATTGTTTTTCTTGTATATCACAGCCTTCTTGATCTGAACTGTGGCCTTGACAACATAGTCCTGAGTCGCATATACATTCGCTTCTATGTTATCCAGCATGCAGCCCTGCTCCTCCACCAGCTGGGCCATCTGGGAGAAAAGCTCATGAATGTCCTTGATCCGGCTCTCCAGCTCCAGCAGCTCCTTGTGCCGGTTCTCGATCTCATTGAGAGCAGACCTGGCCGTCTTCCCCTCCAGGAGGAGATTATCCGAGAAGACGTTCCACTTGCCCGTCTCGATCATCTCGTCGATCTGCTCCCTGCTCACCTCCTTGCCCATGATCTCCGCTTGCCTCTGGATGCGGGTCTTGCAGTTCTCCCTCTGGACCATCTCAGCCTCGTTGTACTCAGACATGGCGTTGTGGAAGGCGGCGGTCAGAGAAACATGCTGCGACCGCACCATGCGAGCCACAGCTGATGTAGGCCCGTGCTCCTCATCTAGCTCTTTGCTCAGCTTCCCCAGCTTCTCCAGCCGAGCATAAATGGCCTCCCCTCTGGCCTTGATGTCCCGTCCGAGTGCGTTGGAGTCCCGCTTGATGCTGCTGATCCTCCTGACAGACGTGAGGAACCTGGTGTTCTGCTTCCCAAGACGCTTCACGTCCATTTTGAGCAGAAGCATCTCCTTCCTCATCGCCTGCGCCTCTTTGTAGAGGTTGTCCAACACATCCTCGCCCTCAAACACGATGGCTTGTTGCTCCAGATGCCCCTCGTCATCCCCCTCTGTGGTGTGGTTGTGGCTCCCATCTTGCATGCGCTCCTCCCCTGCAGGTTTGGAGGTCTGCAGCTCACACAGTCGGTCCCTCATCTCACCTGCAAGAGGGGTCAGGAACCTTTACTGAACTCTTTAAAGGAATA